CTGGCTGAAAATGTCAGTGGCCAAAATGTTGGTGCGTCACTAATTAATAAAGATTACAGTGTTGTTTAATTACAATGTTGTAATTGACTCGCTGTCCTACGGTTTATCTTACTTCCTCATTCTCACCTCTGTTGAGTCTCTGATCATCAAGCGTGTTCGTTTGGGAGGTCATGTGTGAAGACTTTCAGTAGATGCTACTAATGTGCGAGTATTCACTTCACTTTTCTCTCGTAGGACCTATGAAACGTCTTTGCTAGTTGAGGAGTCCATCAGTGATGAACTACCGTACAGTGGTAAGACAGTAACTGTGTCACAGGAGAAGAGGGTGTGTTTGTCTTGAATCAGCCTCGTATGACTCTTGTGTTTGTCCTCTGCACAGAATACTTTGAATATTTTGCTCCAGACTTCACACTTCACCCAGACGTCAGCACAAGGATAGAAAACCAAAATTCCAGACAAGTATGGGTTATTTTGCTCACATATGTTTGTGTCTACAAACCTGCCTTTACATTGACAGTACATTTGTTTTAACAAGTACAGTGAGACAAAACCTCTTTTAAACCGGGAAATAACCAAGTTGAGAAAAAATAAAAAATAAGTGTTGCATAATGAAAAATCAATTAGACATGCTTGAGATTCAGATACGGCACCAGATACTCTCTGGAGATCTCAGATCATTGAGGGTTGCTTCATGTCAGCTCCAGGACTGCTGTACTAAGTACTAAGACTATAGCAAATCCATGTGCATTATTATTATTTTTTTTTATTGAACTTTTCATTTTGTATTAAATTATAATAATGCAAAAAAGTGAAAAAATAAAACCATATCAAAATGTAACACTTAACGATTAGTTAAAGGATATTATAGTGTGTTGTATTTATTAAGGTTAGAACATGTGTAAATATTTCATTCAGTGTAGTCTTCAATTAATCATGATTAATCGCATCCAAAATAAGTTTTTAAAATAACTATTATTTTGGATGCGATGAATTGTTTGACGGCAGTCTTCAGCAGTAAGCAGCGTGTTGTTCCCCGTGTTTTCTAGTATTTGGAGCAGATTCGTCAAACAGTGTTTGAGAGCTTGAAGATGTTGAATCACGCACCAAGCGTTCAGATCCATGACGTTCCCTCTGATTTGCTGAACTACGAGCGTCCAGACGAGGCTGATCCTGACGAGCGCGGGTCAGAAGACCACTTCTCCAGGTGACCACAAACTAACACTAGTGTTTAAACGCTTGCATGAAGCCCCTTCTGCCCACCAAGACTGACTCTTGCAGTAAAATATATATATATACATGCACACTGTGTGTGGGTGGGTGTGTGTGTATGTGTATATATATATATATATATAAAAATAAAAACAGTAATATTGTGAAATATTATTACAATATAAAACAGTTGTTTTCTATGTGAATATGTAGTAAACTGTAATGTATTTCTGTGATGCGCAGCTGTATTTTC